GATACTATTGCTGTAACTGTTGCTGTTATCGCAGCTGTTTATTTTGACGTTGTTTCTGCTTAGTTTCTGTTATAATTTTTGTTTTTATATTGTTGTTGTTGCTGTTGTTGTTGTTGTTGTTGTTGTTGCTGTTGTTGTTGTTGTTGTTGTTGTTGTTGTTGTTGTTGTTGTTGTTGTTGTTGTTGTTGTTACTAGTGCTGGTGGGTTTTTTAAAGTCTGCCATATATTCGTGATAATGCTTTGAAAGTAATTTAAGGCTCAACTGGTCGCGTTTAAGGACAAGCTGGATAGCCTAGATTTCGGGGATTTCCAGAAATCTTGACGTACACCAAAAGTTGCCCTACCTATGTTTCGTTTCGTTAGTGGGTATATTAGTTCGTAAAAATAGAGAAAACTCTCCTTGTCTGTTAAATAAACTGAACAAGGGTCCCAAAACTTTACCTTCAATTTTCTCAAAACAGCGTTTTTCGGGATAGCCCCTTGTGTTTAAAAGCGACCATAAGACGTACGAGGGGACGGGGGGGGAGGGCTTGTACGAGTACCTGGTCTGGTATGCTCACTAGAGCTGTGACCATTAGACTTTATCATTCAGCATTCACGATGTATACGCTATTTATGGGTATTCTAAGCGTGGCAAAATCATTCGAATGCCATGTGATTTTTTCATACAATTGATTCTGGGGATCTTGGCAATTTTTTCTCTACCTGATTAGAAAATATCAAATCTAAAATTTTTAGGTAAATACAGCAATACTTCGTATTCGATGGTTGCGAGGCGGAGTGATGAGTAGAATCAACAAGAGTTATAAACCATGCATCTAAGAAGTATTCACTGTCATTTAATGTTCACCAATCACACCAGGAATAGCTCATGTTTTCTCTATTATTAGAAATTCAAAGCGTTTTGAATTTTGATGTAAGGTCATCGTATTGCAGTGTGTTACGAACTCAGAGAATAGCGTTTCAGATTTTTTTTTTTTAAACAAAAGACATTCGTATTTTGTTTTCGAATAGCATGAATCGTGACCTAGCGCTTCGAAGCATCGATGAAGATTCGTTTTCTCTAAATTGCCCAGCAGAAGTGACCACATGCAGGTAGGGTAAGGTTAACGGGGTGAAAGGGAGGAGGAGAGGAAGGGGGAGGGGTGGAAGAGAAGAGAGTAATGATGGAGGGATAGGGCTAGTAAGACCTTGTGAGAGGGACTTTGCACTTTGCTTTGCCCATTAGATCTACCCCTAAACACCTTTCCTTTTTTACCATCCTCTTGAAATACAAACATAGACACACACCTCACACACACACACACACACACACACACACACACACACACACACACACACACACACACACACACACACACACACACATACACTAATAGTAATAGGAACCATAAACGCACCTACCAAACGTACTTACTCGCTAACCCACTTTTTCTCAAGTACATAGGTCCACACATACTCATACAATCACACACATTAGGTAACAGCCATCCAATACGCCAAAATTCCCCTTTCTGTTTGCCTCAAATGTTGGGATATGTAACCAGTCACGGCGATGACGGCATTAGCCCAACCTGGGCCTCAATACCCTGACCTTTTGCGGGAGCGATTCAACGTCGCATTTTCCCCCAAAGACTGTGTATTTAAGAGCGCGATATACTGGCTTGTTAACGCCTCTAAGACGCTGTGTTGACCAGAGCGGCGCACCCATCACGTCACAGGCTGCGGCTTCCACTACTGTTGTAGACAGCTGGTCTCAGCTGACGGCGTCTGATCAACTCATTAATTAGGCGGCTGCCCGTAGACGTCAGAGCTGAGCTTGCGTCAAAGCAGAGAGTAACGAACGTCGGGAACCGTTCTGTGCGCACCCTGACCTTCATCTTCAGCGACAGGGGTGGGAATAAGGGGTGAGACGGGTTATGACGTCACACACCGTGCCCTAGACGACTGCAACAAGGCGTCTTTCTAAATCGAAAGCTCTACTTAGGATGGCCTTTCTATATTCACTTATAAGCAAACTTTAGGGAGACGACTGATTTGCCCAATGTTAGACCAACTTCGGTCCAGTCCGTTTAATAGCAGTTCTCTGTGAGACGACTGATCGGCCCCTTCAGTCTGCTTAATGGCAACTCTTTGAGAGGCAAGAAATTTTCTGTAAGATGACGCAACAGACAGCAAACCATCAATCATTCGCTTGTTCTCTCTGTCACCGGTATTTTCTGGCATACATTAGCTTCATCATGCGACATAAAATGTAGACAAATTCTGCACAAACTATATCATCTGTTGAAATGTCTTTGTCCTACTACAAACTGACAACCTACCTACATACCCATCTACTTATCCACCTACCTACCTACCTACCTACCTAACTACCCACCTACCAACCTACCTATTCTACCCTACCCTACCATGCTACACCTAACTACCTATCTACCTACCTACCTACCTACCTACCTACCTACCACCGTCGGCTGGCCCGTTGAGCACGGTGGTGTACCGCCGCCCAAAAATGTTAATGCACACAACACTCACCGTTTCTACCGTCTGCTTTTGGAAATGAGGACGTCAGGAGGTCTAACATGTTTTATGGGGCTTGTCCATGTGAAACAAAGCATCACGAGCACGAGTCATTAAATGCTCACGTCAACAATTCCGTTAAGTGACACACTTTCGGTCTACTAGACTAAGCAGCGCAGCAGCTAGACGATGGTCATCGCATTGCAACTTCTCACTACACCGAACAGTTCAGACGGAACAGGCACGTACTGTGTAAAGTTATCGAGTATATAATTTTGTTCTGTGGAACTCACGAACTCGCCCCTTACGGTCATGAAAAAGGTGATTTGTTGGAGAACAGAAGTCATCTTTCTTGAATTACGGCATCGAGACGCTTGACACTGACAGGTTACTGTTTGATCATCTGCAAAGCGTTACTGTTGTAAAATATATTTGCAAAATAATACAAAACGAACTGCTGGACTCTATAATTTTCAAAATATATCACGAAGAACTGAATAAATACCTACCCTCTGCCATTTTTTTTCTATTCAGGCTGACGAAGTAACTCATGCAGGTCATTTGTCACAGTCTGTGATCATTCTGAGGTATATTAAGGACGGAAAACCGGCAGCGTGTTTTTTTAAGTTTTGTAAAGCCAAAGACAAAACTTCATCAAGGTTCGTTTCAACCCTGAAAGAAGCTTCAGAACCATTCAGCGTAGAGGAGAAGCGGATAACCCAAACCTACATGGGACAGCTGTCATGAGCGGGAAAGTCTCTGGTGTACAGATTCAGATGCGCCAATATTTCCCTAATGCTGTCTTTGTTCATTGCTATGCGCCTCAGCTGAATCTTGTTTGAAAGCACGCTTGTGCTGGCATATTAGATAGCAGAAAAGATTTCGCTAACGCTGCAGGCTTTTCGACATTTTTTGCCCACTCCTAAAAACGCATAGACGTTCTCAGACGAGTTTGTCACCGTAATAGTCCACGGCCATCTGAAACAAGGTGGAATTTTCAGTCTTGACATATTAACTAAATCTTCACTTGGACAGAAGAGATCCAGTTCTGTCTTGAAGAAATTCAGACAATACCATCCACGAAGTGTGTGGTCTCTTTAATATATTAAAGAGCGGTACATTACAGTGTCAACACAAGTTAACGTAGTGAATGGGATCCTCCAACACAGAAGTACAACTCCCA